ATTTTTTAAAGATTCAGACAAACAGCTTCGTGTTCATTCTGATTACGCTGAGCGAACAACCCTACCAACTTTCCATATATGCCATTTAAAAAGAAATACCAAAAAAAATAAAAAAAATAAAAAATATGTAATAAATTTTAACTTACCCTTGCGACAGTACTGGACTGGGTGGCGATGTAAAATAAGACATTGAATTCTGATCGGTGGTTAATAAACCGTAAATATCGCGGTGACTGCTGGCATTAGCGTTCGTTAGTTGGGTAAAACTTTGCAAAGTTGCTACATCGCCCGTTTGCGATAAGGCTGACGAGGGTGATGGACTATTACCGCCCGAACTAACCGAATTATTTTGATGTAAATGATGTATGGTTTGCAGGTGATTGGAAGACGACTGTAAATGAGCCGGAGCAACTACGGTAAGCGTACTTAATTCATGGCCTAAATTTGCACTATGATATGTATCCTTTAATGTTTGAGCATCGACCACTGAATTTAAATTTGTTAAATAACTGACAGCAGTGTGATGATCGTCTAAGCATTCACCTTTCAGTGTATCCTGGATAACTTCATCGATATTGGTCGGAGTGTGCGGTGTATTGGGTGTCGTGCCCACTAATTGCGTATGCTGATGCAAATGCTCATGACCCGTGGGTGCATAAGAGGTAGAATAAAGGGTTGTATTCGAACGCATTGTATCGTCGTGCAGCGTATAAGAAGAAGCGTTTGCTAATGTCGTAGCCGCAGTAATCGCAGCGCCAGGATTAATTAAATGCGCCGGATAATATGCTAAATTTTGCGGATGTGTATGATGATGATGATGATGATGGTGGGAGTGCTGCTGTAGCTGAGTTAAAGTCGATGTCAATAATTGACTTGTAAGATCGTTAACCGACTGAGTATGATTTAATGATAAATCATAGGCACAATTATTATAAACATTCAACCATTGATCGGCGACGGACGGTTGATGCGAGTAATGATGGGCATGTTCTTGTAATTGTTCTGAACTTGTGACGGATTGTTGCGCGCTTTGATTAGCCGATTGCGGAGTTGGAATTCCAATTACCGCTAAATTAAGATTTGGATCACTTGTTGAACTGAGTATATTGGACGTTTGTGAATCGTATTCCACTGTTTGTACACTAAACGAATTATCGGAATGTTGTTGTTGCTGATGATGCTGATGATGCTGATGATGATGATGTTGCTGTTGTTGCGCGTTATGATTATAATTTGTTATAATTACGGTATTATTTACACCACGATAATTTACCGGTTGTTGTTGGTGTTGTTGTTGTAATTCATTGTTTAAAGTTTTCTCAAATTCTTCACAGTTTTCTAATTTTTCTTGATAATTTTCACTAATTGTCGTCGCTGCTGATGTCGTTGCTGTTGTTGTTGTTGCATTTATCACGGATTTTGCAGACAAATTATTGTTATCATTACGATTTATTTGACTATTATTGCTCTCGATATTACACTTATTAACCTTATCAGTTGTTTGCGTATGATGACGATTAATTATCACGGCGGTAGCGGCTTCGCATACGTCACCGTTACAATTATCTTGAAGTTTATCAACAGCAGACGCAGCAGCAGCAGCAGCAGTAGCAGCAGCATCAATTGCAACTGTAGACTTTGCGGTATCGAAATGAATATTCGTCACTGTATCTTTTTCATTTTTATTTAATTGAAAGTTTTTCATATGCTGTGAATCTTCTTCGGCGGTGGTATTTGTTATTGTCGTAGTACGTAACACTGTCTGATTTGATGTTTCGTTGACAACTGATAGGAGCGTTGCTGACTTGCCAGCTAATAACGATAAATTCAAATTTGCTGCGAACCTCGACTCTGATGCCTGGTGTTGTTGCTGTTGTTGTTGATGTTGTTGTTGTTGTTGTTGGTTGTGGTTTTGATGGTGATTGTGGTGATTATGAAAGTGGTGTACTCTCCCCGAACCGATTTGCTCGTTGAGTAGACCTGTTATTGTTGTTGTTGTTGTTGTTGTTACTGCTGCCGCTGTTGTAGTAGAAGACAACGACGATTGCGGTGAATTTGTCGTTTGCATTGGTATTGGTGATCTTTGCTCTTGTCTATATTCTATCTCTTTTCGACTTAATAAACAACCCGCTATTGTCATTGGTTCAGATTCGTTGCTTATAAGCATTTTCGTTGGATATGGACTTTGCTCATTATGAAAAGAAATCTTTTGCCCTTCAATATCCTTCTCATATAATTCCTTACGCTTGCAAATGCTTTTATTAAAACACTCTGTTGCTGTTGTTGTTGTTATTGTTGCTGCTGCTGTTCTTTTTATTGAAGCTTCATTTGCTTCATTTGCCGTAAACAACTCGGCTCCATTTATTAATGCTTTATGTAAATTTTTTCGATTTTGCTTTGAATTTGCTATAGCTTTAGTGATTTTCATATTGGCCGCATTAGTTAATAATGATTTTGCCGTAACACCTTTCAATTTATTTTTATCTTTATTCGCTACACTTTTATTCGTTTTAATATTTGCATTATTTTTAGTGGAACATTTCATGATTTTTTTCTATTTTTCTTTTGCCACTTTTTACTTACTAAGTTTTTGTCATTAACGAATGAATGAATATATGGCACAAATTTTAATATTAATTTTTTTATTAACAATAATATAGTTTTCCCTTTATAATAAATAAAAGAGACAGACAAAAAAAAAAAAAAAGAAAAGAAAAGCAGAAGACTTGTTTCAATAATCCGCTTACACTTTGCTTTACGCTTGAGTTTTTTATTGAAACTGTTTTGTGTCCAAATCGGTCTCGAGCAGAAATCTCAGTGACTTTTAGAAAACAAATCAAAAATGTTTTTGTATATATATATATATATATATATATGCGTGAGTGAGTGCACTCCGATGATGATGATGATGATGATGATGAGGATGTATGTATGCTTGAATTAAGAAAAAGAAAAATTGAATTTTTTTTTTTTGTCTTTTTTTGTTTTAATGTTTTATTACACTTCAATTATAATATTTCATTTTACACAGCCTCCATTTTTTTTTTTTTTTTTTGCTTTTGCTTTACTTTTCATCCTCAGTGCTGCTCTCAGTCTCCTTTAATAAAATTGCTCTCAATTTTATGCGTATTTTCGATTTTAATTTAGAGCACTTCTCTCTCTGTTTGCCTTTCTCTCTCTCTGCCACTTGGCATATCGCTCTCATTCTCTCTTTCAATTAAAGATCGTTTCATTTCATATTCACCACACTTTTTTTGCTCTCTCTCTCTCTCTCTCTCACTCTTACTCTCCCTCTCCTACTCTTTCTCTCTTTCATGCCTAAGATTAAGTTTTTCCGTCCTTGCCTGTCTCATTGTTAATGCTTATCGTGTAGGGAACGCCTCTTTTGTTATTTTTAATTTGTGTGTTTGTTTTCTTTTTTTCATTTTTTCATTTAAACAAGAGAACAAAAACAAAAACCATAATGGCTTTTGTGTTTTATTTAATTTTTAGCGCACAGATTTCTTCGTATGTTTTCATTTAACATATATTATAGAATGTGTAAATAAAATTTATATATACATATATATATAAATATATATATATATATATGCGTGTGTGCTTGTAGTATATATATATATATATATATATATATAATATTTACTGCATACATATATAATAACAAAAATTCTGTCAAATG